GAGAAGACATCGAGGTCTATGTTGCATTTGGAACACATCATCAGTTTGTAGACGGGTTGGATTTCAGGAGGGTTTGGGCTAGATGCTTGGCACATAGAATGTATTTCTCTTTAGAAATGGTATTTTAAATGGTAGCTCAGTTTCTCAAGCCAGTCCACAAAATCCTACTTAAGCCTCAAAATAGTTTTGATGCCATAAAACTGTGTATTTGTAACAAAAAAAATATCCAGGGCTGTGGCCAGCAGTGATTAAAAAAATACATTGTTTTCAGTCCATGATTTCCAATGCTGATATTTAGGTAAGAGTAGGTCTAAGGAGAGGGAAATGAAAGTGCGTGTGGAAGCTTTGTAGAGCCTCTAAGGAGATACCAGGGCCATTCCACAAACTTTGGAGTTGATGACACTAGTTTCTTGGAATGGGTGGACTAGCAAATGCTTCTAAGGAAATCTGGATAGTTCCCTTTTCATAAACTCGCTCTTCCCTCCTCCTCCCTCCTTCTATTCCTCCCTCCCCCTCCCTTACTCCCTTTCTCCTTCCTTGCTTGCTTCCTACTTCTCTCCATCCATCCATCCATCCATCTTTTCCTTTCCTCTCTCCTTTTCTTTTTAAAGAAATCTATGTGTGTGAGAAAGCCAGGCATGGTGGTCCATGCCTATAATCCCAGTACTTTGGAATCAGAGATGGGAAGATTTTTGAATCCAACCTGAACTACATACTAAGATCCTGTTTCCAACAAAACCCCAAACCAAACGAAACCAAACCTAAACAAAGTTAAAAAAAATCTGTAAGAGGGCTGGGAGGAGGCAGCGGAGGAGGAAATTCTTTTCAGTCAGTGGTGAGCAAAATGAGAACACACAGAGGAGGAAAAGGTTGACTAGAAAAACGTGTCTGCATCAAAGAGAAAGAGATTTAGCTGAAAGGAGCTTGTCTGCCTAGCTGCGGAGGAAGACGTGGTAGAGCTGTGAAAACACCTTCACTTCAGAAACTTGCCTTGGGGTTCTCTATGACAGGCCCAGGATGAGTCTGGGATCTTTGGGGAGCTTATCCAGTGGGGTCCTGATCATCTTCCAGAAGGTAGAAGGATTTGTGGGAAGTGGGATGTCTTAAGACGCAGATGTTTAGTCTCTTCCCCCAAATAGCAGGACAAATGGTCAGACTAATACAGCATGCCTGCAACTGGGTAATCTATAAAGGAAAATTTAGTTTAGCTCATGGTTCAGGGAGCTGGCATTTCCAGGAGCATGGAGCTGTTACCAGCTTCATGGTGGAAGGACAGAAGGGGTCAATATGGACAGAGAGGAAGGAAGAGAGTGTCTCACAAGCCAAAGTCCTTTCTGTCACAAACTGCTCCTGCAGTGCTTTACCCCTCCAAGGGGAACGCCCTCACTCACTCTTGTTAGAATGGTATAATCCATTGCTGAGGGTGCAGCCTCTTGACCCAAACATCCCTTAAAGTTCCCACAGTTCCTCAATACAGCTACTACACTGGAAGCCAGATTTCAACGTGAGTTTTGGAGAGGGTGCACCAGCCCCAAACCATAGGAAAAACAGCGAGAAGTTGTACCTTAGTCCATTGTTTGGATTAAGCAAGATTGAATACTGAGATTTAGTGAATTCCTTTAACAAATATTTTTCTGTTCTCTATTCCTTTTATTAAACCTAGTTGTGCTCTCTGCTTTTAAATATAACCCAGAAATCAGTCTTGAGGCAAGTATTTAAATTTGATAATGTAGTTAAAAATCATTAGACCTATGGTGTTGGATTACTGTTTTTCACCAATTTCGAATTCTTGTTTAAGACAGAACATTCTCTAGGAAGAAATATGATTACAAGGAAGTTAATAATAACTTCAAGACATTATTTAATGTCTTAAGAGGAAGGTATTTTTCAAGTACTCTTAATTGTTTATAGCAGTGACATAAAATACACTGAATTTTGATCTCTTAAAAAATCTATTAATAAGCTGGGTGCCAGTGGTTCATGCCTATAATTCTAGCTACTCAGGAGGCTGAGATCTGAGGATTGTGGTTCAAAGCCAGCCTGGGTAAAAAGTCCCTATGAGACTATCATCTACAATTAACCACTCAAACACTGGAAGTGGCTGTGGCTCAAGTGGTAGAGTGCTAGCCTTGAGCACAAAGAAGCTCAGGGACAGCACCAAGGCCCTGAGTTCAAGCGCCACAACCAACCCCCAAAAATCGATTCATAGCTGGGTACTAGTGGCTCATGCATATAATCCTAGCTACTCAAGAGGTTGAGGACTATGATTTGAAACCAGCCTCTACACAAAAGTCTTTAAGACTCCATCTGCACTTAATCAGCAAAATGCCAGAACAGAAACATGGCTCAAATGCCATGAACAAGAAAGTCTAGTGAGAGTGGAAGATCCTGAGGTCAAGCCATTGTACCAGCATGCATGTATGCATAACCCTCCCTCCCTTTATTAATAAAAAAAGTCTTTTAGGGGCTGTCTTGATGGCATACATCTGTAATTCCAGGTATTTGGGAGGCGGAAGAAAGAGGATTGTTGTTTGAGGCTGGCCAGGCAAGAGCATGAGACCTTATCCAAAAAACAAACTAAAAGCAAAAGGATTGTAGGCATGGCCCAAGGGGGAGAGTGCTTGTTAGAAAGTGTGGGATTCTCGGGTTGGGAAGGTGGCTCAGTGGTAGAGCGCTTGCCTTGCATGCATGAGGCCCTGGGTTCGATTCCTCAGCACCACATAAGCAAAAAAAGAAAAAAGCCGGAAGTGGCGCTGTAGCTCAAGTGGTAGAGTGCTAGCCTTGAGCTGAAGAGCTGAGGGACAGCGCTCAGGCCCAGAGTTCAGGACCCACGACCGGAACCCCCCACCCCCCAAAAAAAAGAAAGTGCGGGATTCTCAACAAAAAAGCAAAACAAATCAAACCAAACCCAAAACAAAAGTCCTTTCAAAACAAGTTCTTTAGACTTTCTGGGGCACAGATCAAATATAGTAAAAGTACTTTGAAAAAAAATCTGTAACTAATGCCTTTTCTATTTTTCTCCAAATTTAGAATTTCAAGAATTCGTAGATTGTTCTAATAAGATATTTTAGAGAGTTGTTGTTTCATCATATAACCAAATCTTATTTTCAGTTTTCTCTTTACAGCGAAAGTGTAAGTGTGTATTAAGGAATAAATGGGTAGCAGAGAATGGAGTGTTTTTAGCCTATACTGCCTCTTTAGTTTGCATGAGTCTGTCAACATTTCAGAAAAGTTATCATGAGTACTCTCCCAGTCACTATAAATGATTGCTAAATTGACTCAAAGAAAAAAACAACAACTCACAACCAACATGGTATACACCAAACAAGTTACATAATATATACAAACATATGTAAACGGTGTCAGATATAAATTAAACATTACACTCAAAAGCAGCGAGAAGCCTCCTGCGCGATTGCGGGCTTTCAGGATCTGTGTGTAAAATAGCACGCAGCATGTCACATACTGAACATTTAAGATTTGAATTATTGACGTGTTCTACATTAACACTCAGAGACCTTATTTTATAATTAAGTTGCTGTCATTGAAGATGCTGAAATCATTTCAATGAAGGGCAAAGAAAGAAGAAACTGGGGTGGAGGAAGTACAGGAAGGAAGTCTTCGAAATGATTTTTTATGGACTACAAGTGGCTTTATTTATTGCTTCCCTCAGAAGAAGGACACTGGTGCCCAGTAAACCCTTTACTATTGAGGCTTCTTTGATTCTTTCTGTCTCTGAACAGAGTTGTGCCTCTGTGCGTGGGGTGAGAAAAGAGAGCCTTTCAGAGTGAGTAATGACCAGGGCAGAGCAGACCTGTGGCCGCATGGTCTAGTCAGTACTTCAGGAAATCTGACCTTATACCAGGGACACTGTGTTCTTGTAGATAGTGGGACAGTGCTCTTCGTAAATGAGCTTGTCCTCTCAGGAAAACATCTGATTGTGTTTATTTTCCTACAGATGTGACATTTTTGAGAGCTCATTCCCTTCTTTCCTTCTCGGAAGAAAATGGAGCCAAATTTGGATATTAATTAACTAATTAATTCATTTGGCACATGGCTATCCTAATACCACTTGAGCAATACCTCCAGTTCTGACTTTTTCTTTGCTGGTTAAGCAGAGACAAGAATGTCTTGGATTTGTGTGGCCAGCTTCGTTTAGAATCTCGATATTTGGATCTCAGCCTCCTGAGTAGCTATGATGACAGGCAGGAACTCCTGGCACTGGGCTGTTAGAGCTTATTTTGAGGATCAGGTTCAGACCATGATCCTCCTATCTCTACCTTTGGAATAGCTGGGATTACAGGTGTACACATGATGTCTGATAAACTTTGGATCTTAATCTATATGGAATTGGCCTTTTGTGGACACATAAGCTTTTTGTTCATGAACACTGGCAGTGTGAATAAGAGAGGGAAATGGGTAGAGGAGCAGTTCTCAGCCCTCCTCTGCCTGTATTTGAACAGGCATCGCGTTGACTAGAATGTATTGAGCAGTCTGAGAACTACTGCCTTGGACTTCTCTGCATTTGGTTTCCTGCCATGGGGCTCTGACCATTGCAATCTGGGGCCTTGCAATGACCTTGGCTAATTCTCACATTTTACCGCTTGCTACTGACAGCAGGTGGAAGAACCCATTTTGGCAATGATCCTTCTGTCTTTGGGTGATATACCACAAAGCCCTTGAAAATAGCATTCTGTATGAGCTCCTCCAACTATGGCCTACCTACTGATGATTTGGTTGAGCTGCTAGTCAAATAATTTATAAACACCTACCAGTTGAAATAAGTCAGTGACTGGTGACTGTGAACGATCAACCAAGGGCATTTAAGTTTTCTAGATTATGAGATTTTCAATTAGGCTTGGCACTTCGTAAGACGTAAAGCTCTGATCAGAGATCCTTCGATCAACATAGAACAGCTTATTTTGTTTTCAACAAGACCCCGTTTTAATTGTTTTTCCTTCCCATGAAAGACAAAGCTACTGATGAGACCAGACTCCCACCTTGATATCCTGTGGGTTGATATCAGGATTTGTTTGACATCGTAGCGGCCCCAGAGTTTGAAGATGGAAAATGTAGAGAAGAAACTCAGCCCTCGCGGAGAATGGCCAGCCCACCTCCAGGACAGTGTCACTGATGGCGCTCGGCCCAATATTGTGTAGCTGCAAGCAAGGGACATACTATGAAATGAAACAGCATGAGTCAGGGAGATGAAACCCAACTCCACATAAAGCAAAGAAAGAGCCAGCAAGAAAGAGCACAGGGGCCACTCTGGAAGCCCGATGTGCTGGTGTTCATAGAGAAAACACTTTTAATCTAGAACCCCAGGTGGAGATTCCACAGATTGAATATCCCTTATCTGGAAATGTTTTGGATTCTAGATTTTGGAATATTTTCACCATAAGATACCATGATGAAGAACGATAATGAGGGCTACCTATCTTGGGGGAAGATATGTTGGGAATGGGACTAAGCACAAAAATGTGTCAAAGCAAAAACATAGATCAGTGCTCTGCATATATGTTAGCCTAAAGGAAATCTTAGGATTTTTTTTTTTTTTGCAGTTGTGGGGCCTGAACTCTGGGCCTGGGCACTGTCCCTCGGCTCTTTAGCTCAAGGCTAGCGCTCTACCACTTGAGTCACAGCACTACTTGTGGCTTTTTCTGCTTATGTGGTGCTGAGGAATCGAACCCAGGACCTCATGCATGCAAGGCAAGCATTCTACCACTGAGCCACCTTCCCAGCCCTCTTTTGATTTTTTTTAGTGTGCTCGTATTTGTCTATCACTCACTCATGACATGAGATCAGGTGTGGAATTTTCCACTTACTGTCAGTGCTCAAAAAGGTGTGAAGCCCATGTTGGTTTTTTCAGAGGAGGGAAATTCAACCTGCACAAACCATGTCTGATCATTGTAATGTTTACCTTGCATTTCTATGAATGCTATGGTAGCACTAGAAATGCAATCTTAATTATGTGCTCTCAAAACTTAGAGATTCTTTATGCTGAAATCTGTTCCTCTTGCCTGACTACTGACTTGTCAATTGCAACCATATGTGACAAACTCTCTTTCACCCTCTGGGAAAAACAGCCATTCATCAAGTGCCAGGGCTGCTCTGAGTGAGCCTTCCAAAGCATAGCAACTTCTGTTTCAATCAGCAAATCCCAATGAAAGAAAGCCCACATCTCTTAAGGAGGTGAGAGCTTTGCAAATCCATAGATCTCATGCTCAGAGGGTGCAAAACATCTTGTCCAAAACACTAAGCATATTTAAATTTGTTGTGGATTTAGAAATCGACTTTCACGTTAGCAGGGACCTTCTTTTCTCCACAGTTCTGACAATGATCATGATCTATAAAACAACATGTTATTGTTTTTGCTTATTAGATACACTAGATAACTCACATGATCAGAAAGGGAGAGAATGCCATTCATTGATACAGTATATTTTAGGACAGGAGATTAGCATGTAAGAAGCACTGGACGATTGCTTTGGCATTACTGGTAATTGCTGTTGACTTTTATGATTTATGCATGCTAAGATTAGGAGCCCAGCTATGATGAAAATGGTTTTGAGTCTGAATGTGGTAAAAGCTTTCAAGTTTTATCAGTCTTGAGCAGCAACTGGGTGCACACGAGTTTAATAAATTACCTTGACATTTTAAAATTATTCCAGTGAGGCTCTTGGTCTGAGGGCCATCAGGATTAGACTATTCACTTCTTTTGGTATCAAACGAGTGGAAGGCAAAGCTTTGATTGGCCATGGCTTCTGAATCTCAGCTTTTGGTTGGATAGATGACAGGGCATTACATGCTAATGCTACCCCAAGTGCTGACCCTTTTTTTTCCCCCAAGTATGGAAACAACTCATTGGTTCAGAAATAGTTTCATTGTTAACCCGAGAGAACATTCTTCATGTCCTTTGCAGCTTTAGATGGAAGTCACGTTAGAAATTATTCGATCAGTTATACAGGGCAGGAAGAGAAGAGGCCTCGATCAGCATATGTGTCAACACTTGAGTCATGCCTCAAGTTCTTTTAGTTTTTCCTATAGAGTCTCATGCTTGTGCCTCATGCTGTGATTCTTCTGTCTCCACCTCCTGAGTAACTAGGACAACAGGTATGGACCACCATGACTAGTTTGCATTTGAGGGGCTAGCTAACTTTTGCCCAGGCTGACCTTGAATTACCATCCACCTGTCTCTGTCACCCAAGTAGCTTGAAAATTCGTTGGTTTTTGACTTAAAACAACAACCCTAAATGTAGCTGAGCATCAGTGGTTCATGCCTGTAATTCTAGCTATTCAGGAAGCTGATCTGAGGACTGTGGTGAATTCTGTAAGTTTCTTATTGCCAATGAACTGCCAGAAAGCTGTAAGTGGAGCTGTGGCTGGAATGATACCCTTGAGCAATAAAGCTAAGAGACAGCACTTAAGTCTCAAGTTCAAGCTGCAGGACAAACAAAACAATCATATACGTGCATATATAACTATATATTATTGAATATATATAATATATATCATATATATGCATATATATCAATAAGTCTTTCCTCCATTCACAATTTCATACTTGAAATAGGAAAAGAATATTGTGTACAACATTGTGTTGCAATTTGTCCCTGAAAGTATTTAACTACACAATGGAGTATCCCAATCTCAGAGCAAGATACACATTTCTCATGTGGGTTATGTGAATAAAAATGAAAATTATTCTTATCTGCCACATACCCATCTTATTCGTTCTTTGTACATTTTTCAGTGAAATTATTTAGTGGCTAATTTATAAAATCTCGGCTGCTTCTAATGAGTGTCCCTCAGTTTAAGAGATGGATGAGTTTTTAAAGATAAATAAAAATGCAGTGAAATCTGGGGAGCTAGTTGTTTCTATACACAGCTCTCCAAATATTGAATAGTGAGCATTAAAGAAAGAAGAACAGGGTTGGGAATGTGGTTTAGTGGTAGAGTGCTTGCCTAGCATGCATGAAAGCCTGGGTTCAATTCCTCAGTACCCCGTAAACAAAACAAGCTGGAAGTGGGGCTGTGGCTCAAGTGGTAGAGAGCTAGCCTTGAGCAAAAGAAGCTCAAAGGACAGTGCCCAGGCCCTGAGTTCAAGCCCCAGAACTGCGGAAAGAAAAGAAAAACAATTACTAGGCAAGAAGTCTCTGACCATTGAAGGGCTCTCTTACAAGAAGCAGTGACCTATCTGTGGTCCTTTAACAGGAACCCACCTCACATGGGGGTCCAACAGCCCAAGGGCACAAATCAAGGCAGTAGATAATGCCTGGATCTTGCGTTAGGATCCTTAGAAATGCCATGCACTGTTTCTTAGTAAAGGGCATACGAATGAAACTCCATAGAAGACAGCTACCTCATAAATGTGTTCCACCAACGGTCCAACTTCCTCTTCTTTGCGGGGCTCCATTTCCGGCACCCAGTTATGAATGGGCAGAACAATCTGCGGAGGATGGGAAACGCTGGAATATGGAAGGTTGTATTAGTGTCTGTGGATGGTCAGGTCAGCAATACTTCACTAAGGTACAGTACGTTGAGAGCAGAAGAAACTCAGAATACTCAATTTACTCAGAAGATATACTTTATGTGGAAAAACACTGAGATATTCAGCAAAATGCTTAACATACAGTGGACCATCTGAATCCTCCACTGCAGTAGGCTACGTGGATGATCTCTAGTCTAGAGATCAACCTTTTGCTAGTAGGGGGCAAAGCAAAGAGCATTCTTGAGATTAGAAGAACACACACCACACACCTTCCCTCCCTCCCTCCCTCCCTCCCTTTTTTCCTTCCTTCCTTCCTTTCTTCCTTCCTTCCTTCCTTCCTTCCTTCCTTCCTTCCTTCCTTCCTTCCTTCCTCCTTCCTTCCTTCCTTCCTTCCTTCCTTCCTTCC